TGTAACTTTGTTTGCCAGAGTTTTGGGTGTAGCTGAGGGAAGCGGTTTAAAGAGCCTCACTATTCAATAAGTAGACTTTCATTTAGTCATTTTGTCCTTTTGAATTGTAACTTTTTAAAAGTTCTTTATCATTTTAGTAGGGTTTCAATGAAGATAAGTATCTGTTTAATCAATTTTGTTAAATGGAAGTTCTGTATCAATCAGTTCCAAGACTGAAGAGAAGTAATCACTTTGTAAAAGCATTATTACACTATTAAAATGTAAAGAAAACATCTCTATTATTTAAAAGATATTTTTGATCAATCTACATTGATTGAGTAAAACTACTGTACCTTCTCAGTGTTGTCAACTCAAATAATTTAAACTATAATTATTAATCAGCCATATATATGTATACGTATGTGTGTGTATAGAATGGCTAAATAAAAGACTTCCAAATGGTTTGTAAAAAAAGATACTATCCTTTTATATGCTGAGTAACACAGGACAAGAATTTCAGAAAGACCATGTATATGCAGTCAACTAATATTTGAAAAGGAACTAAGAATATGCAAAGGAGAAAAGACAGTTTCTTTAGTAAATGGTGCTGGAAAAACAGGATATCCACATATATGAAAGAATGAAACTAGACCTGTAACTTACACCACTCACAAAAATTAAGTCAAAATGAATTAAAGATTTAAATGTTAAACCAGACACAATAAAAATCCTAGAGCATAGGGAAAAACTCTCCTTGACATGGATCTTGGCAATGAATTTTTGGATACAACCACACTGCAAAATGAAAATAAAAGTGGGTCTACTTTTAAGTAGTTTTAAAGTTTGTGCACAGCAAAAGAAACAGGAAAGTGAAAAGACAACCTATGGAATAGGAAAGATTTGAAAATCAGGTATCTGATGCGGAAGGTGATTAGATGAAAGGAGTCAAAAGGTACAGTTTCAGTTAGAAGAGAAAGTCCTGGGGGTGTAATCCACAACATGATCACTACAGTTAACACTGTCATACGGTAATAGCTACAAGTTAAGAGTAGATCCTAAGGGTTGTCATCATAAGGAAGGATCCTCCCTCCCCTTCGTGTATCTATATGAGATGATAGTTGTTAACAAAATTTATTGTAGAATGATTTCACAATATGTGCAAGTGATTTTTCTGTATACCTTAAGCTTATCTAGTGATGTATGTCAGTATCTCAAGGAAACTGGAAAAAAAGTTACAGAAAGATTACAGTTTATAAATAGAATTAAGCAATATTTCCTATTCAAGATAAGGTATAAAGGAAAGGGGATGGCTTGCCTAAGATAAGAGCATGAAATTAGTAACCAGGAAAGCCAGGACTTGGGTCTTTTGACACTGCTGTTTCTACTACATAATTCTTCCTCTAAAAAGACAACTATTTTGTCCGAAAGGCTCTGTGAAACAAATTAAAACTGATTCAGTACACTTTGACTTTTACTTAGACTGTTTCCCAAACACTAAATTAATTTTCAATTTACAATATATAAATTATAAAGCATTAATTACATCGTCAATATCTCTAATGGGTGAAAGAATGACAGATAAAATTTCATAGTTCAAATATCATTACTTTCTTTTCTATCTAATCATCATCACTTATGAAAACCTGAAAATTAATATGACATATGAAAGTATTAAATACCATGTTTCAAATGATCAAACTCCAGTATTTGGGTAGAAAAGCCACAATATTCATGTAATTTTTGTGCCCCACTAACTAAAAAACATTACTGGTATTAATAATACGGAATACCCATTTATTCACAATGGTACAACCCACTTGTATAAGTTAGCCTGTGCTAGCTACCTGAGATATAGCATTCACCAGGTGCCAAGTACTATTCTAAGCACTTTGCTTACTGAATCCTTGAATTAATGCTATTAACATCTTAGTGTCACACCTATTTGACAGATGAGGAAACAAAAGTCACATGACCTATACCAAGCTTCCCAACTTCCTGCAAAAATTTCCTTTTAAAACTCTAAGCCTTGGGCCTCCCAGGTGGCGCAGCGGTTGAGCGCTGGGTTGCGAAACTGCCCGCAGCCTCTACAGCGCCAGTTCAATCCCCGGCCACCAGCAAGGGTCCCACATGGCGCACAGACCTCTCCTGCCGCGCCCACTGCTCCCCTCAGCAGTTTATTTCGTCACTCTGCCTGTTCTGTTCCCTGCTCTGGCTCTGGTGAATTCTCTCACCCTCCTGAGCTTCTGACTGTACCCAGTGCTTGTATAAATAAATAAATAAATCTTTGGGGAAAAAAAAAGTTTAAAAAAAAATTCTAAGCCTTCTTATAGCAGGAATATAGGGGAACCAAATAAGACATCAGTGTAAAAAAATAGTAACAGTACAAAACATGACAAAGCAAAAACAGACAATTATAAACCAGAGACATCCTGCAGGGGAGGAGGCGGGAGAGGGATCAGAGGGAGGGAGGGAGGGAGGGAGGAGCCCAGGGGACTGGGGTGATGGTGCACGGGTGCATTGGGGAAGGAAACTCCATGGGGACTACACCTGAGGGGTTGGGGGGATGCTAATATTGTTTAATAATGAGGAATGATGTAAAAAATAAAAAAAATAAAATTCTAAGCCTTCCTACCATGTTCCTTAAAACTCCTGTTGCATTATAAAATAAACTTACATGATTAACATACTCAAAACAAAATTATTTCTCTACTTTTTCATTTAAAAGGGCAGACAAGGGCCTCCTCGGTGGCGCAGCGGTTGAGCGCTGGGTTGCGAAGCTGCCCGCAGCCTCTGCAGCGCCGGTTCGATCCCCGGCTGCTCCCCGGCCACCGGAGGAGGGTCCCACATGGCGCGCAGACCTCTCCTGTCTCGCCCGCTGCTCCCCTCAGCAGTGTACTTCGGTCCTGCTGCCTGCTCTGCTCCCCACTCTGGCTCTGGTGAATTCTCTCACCCTCCCACACTTCTGACTGTACCCAGTGCTTATACAAGTAAATAAAAAAAAAAAAAAAAAAAAAAACCCTGCTTTAAAAAATAAATAAAATGGCAGACAAGTCTAACCATCTCTAACTCTCCTCCCTTCTTGAGGAAAGTTCTTTCTCTCCATGCCCCAACATCTCAGTCTGGAATTTCCTGGGTGCTACTTATTCAAAGTCCTTCCTCCAAACAAGGACTCTTCTTACTCCCACCATAAACACTCTTATAATCTCTGCAGGCAAATGAAATTTATACACAGCATTTCCAGAAAAAAATCATATAACTGCCAACTTTTGCAATTTTATCTATGAACCCCTGGGAACTCACAACCAGCACACAACCCAGTGCCTTTCCATTTCTAACAATGTGGTCTCTAAACTGCCCAAATCAGAATCACCCGGAATACTTTGTCTAAAGTAGTGCTATTGAAATTACTTTGGAACTGAGCTCTCCGGTGATAGAGCGCAGGAGTAAGCACTAGAAAACGCTTTCCAGGTGATTTCTATGGTTTATTAACATGTAAGGCCCATCCTAATTCTCAGTTAGATACATGGATCTGTTTTCATCCCCTACCCTAATCCTTGGCATTATTCAAGAAAACTTTAACGTAATTCAAGATACCTACACATTATCTTTACATTTTTACCTATTGTAAGTCAGTGACCAGCATTTTCTGTCCATGTCAACAAACTACTCCTTCAACTGCCTACCCTAGACCCAGAAGAGCTATTCAATCTATCAATAATCTTAAAATCAACAGTGCACTCCGCCCAATGTATTCTCTCCCTCTTTCACCAAATCTTTCTTCAGTTTTAGCCAGATTCCAATCCCATGGCTTCTGTTTTCTCCAACTAGCAACTCACCTGCCGTGCCACAAGGCACAGAGCAGGTTCTCTGTGACCCAGGCAGACAGGTAACGGAGAGTCTGGAGCCCTCAGTGGCTTTTTCAGGCTTTTAACAGCATTCATAGTGCAGCAAAAAGGTACCTGGCAGGCAGGGGACCTGGGGGAGGGGGCGCCGGGAGGGTGGCAGCCCCAGGCAAATATTCACTCTTTCTGGGCTCTCCACTTCTTTGCTATGGTTCTGCTACCTCTTCTATTACTGCTGGCGTCTCCGTGACGCCGCCCTTATATGCTCATTCTCTCAGCCCAGGTGTGCCCACTTACGCATGCCCACAGCCTACTCCAAGTGTCCGCCATCAGGCACACATGTAAGATCACAGGTGTGGATCTTAGACGCCAATGGAGGGAGGGCAGAAAATCCTGTCAATTTCCATTTACCCTACACCACCTCACAGCTCTACTTCCTGCTCTGCTCAGCACACAAGACCTGACACCATGGACATCCCACATGGACTTGCAGAGGGACCAATTGGCACCTTCCATCCCTGCTGGAAATGGCACTAATGAGTTGGGATGATACAGCTAGTTTAGGAGTCTATTATATTTTAGACTTTTATTTCCAGTTCAGATTAGCTTGAGGATAATTACCATTTTTAGAATTAATACTTAATGAGCACCTAACACATTCGATGATTATTTCATATATTCCTCACAACTCTTTATAAGGTAGGTACAGCATCATCTTAACTAAAAGCTAGTGATGCTAAGAAAGATTAAATAATCCTAAGGTCTCAGGGTCGGTATGTGACAAAGCTGAGATTCAAACCCATCAGACCCCTTTCTACAGCCTGGCTCATGTTCCTTGTCCTCCTACTCCAGTAATAAATAAGAAAAGAAAGAAAAGGAAAAATAGTAGCTCAGGCATCTATCGTTTGGAGAAACTGGAGAAAGAACTGCTACTTCCTCAGAAAGGTTCACCCACTGTTCTGTTCCCCTCCATCTATTATCCTTTTCAGAACTTGTCTTCAGAAAGTGGGAACAGATGGTAGTACAAAAAGGAATCATGCTTTGGAAAGCTTAGTAGTGAGCTTCACATGTAGAAACCTTTGTCCTTTATCAGTTCAAATTTCTAAAGAATAGTATGTGAAATACTGTGGAAAACTTTAAGATTGAAAATGAGTATTATGGCCAACTTTTCAAACTCACCTCTTATTTTTCTTGTAATTTTCCAGTTGTTGCAACTGCATGTGTTTGTATCTTTCTAATTCACACTGTCCACATAAATCCTCCAGATTCAGCAAGTGGTTTTCTACCTCCTCAAAACTTGCCTCTAAGTGAGCTGAAAATATATGGTCAAAAGAGGAATAAATATCAAAAATCAGTATGCTTGACCATGGAAAAAAGAAAAAGTGTCCAAAAGTTAAAAATTTAAACTGTTCAGCTGGTTTTATATTTATCATTCTTAATTAAACTTTCCTGAAGCAAAATCAAATACATTGACTAATATTAGAATATACTATAAATGATCTTTGTTTCTATATTTCAAACATTTTCAAGATGTAATTTACCAAAATAACTTGTTTTCTATTAACGAAGATGAGGAAACAGAGTATCTTGACTACTCTAATATGATATCACATACGAACAAGAAATTTTCAAATACAGAAAATGTAACACACATTCACACAAACAAAATCCAGTATTTGAGATTTCAAGTTACTTTAGCACTGTCTTGCCTTAACACAGCATAGACATAAACCTTTAAGACACTGTATAGATGTACAAATACTCAGTAAACATAGGTCACCAGGCCAGTCAGCAACGGTGGGGAAGAGATTCAGCTCTGTCTTCCAGTCCTTCCACTGGTCTTTCCTTATTCTACTTGACTCAGACACAGAGCTTTGAAGTTTTTTTGAAACATGGATTTTATCTAGCCAAATTCTCCATTTAAAATATTCAAGACCTAAACCTGCAGAAATTAATTCAGGGCCTTGCCTAAGGTCACTCAGCTAGTGAAGGGCAGTCAGGTATCAAAACTGAGTCCCTCTGACACTAAAATGACTTCTGATTGATAGCGTACTAAGCAAATGTCATAACTGTAGGGGCAGAGATTGGCTGTTTCCTCAGGCAACAGAAAAGTTTTAGAGGTTAAAGATTTTAGAACTCGATCGGCATCATGGCAACTTACTGAAGAGTCACATGCTAGACACTGGGATACAAATATGAAACAGTGCTTGCGGGCAAAGAGTCTGAAGCAAAAGAGAGGCATATTTCACTGACAACACAGTCTGACAGAGCCAGACATGGGAGTGTTAGCATCTATCACGGATGTGGGAGGGGAAGGCTCCGCAACAGCTCTGACTCCCAAGTCTGGAAGCTACAGCCCTGCAGCCAGGAGGGGGAAGCAGAGGGAGAGAGCGGACTAGGCGGCTTTCCAGTCTTGGTTTCACTTAAATGGCTACAAAATAATTACAGTGCATCTAATGCCTTCATTTATCCACTAGATGACTTTTCATATGACTTTTTAAATGAGTTTTCATAATATGCAGGTTGAGGTAAACTCAAATTTTAACTTGGAATTTTAGGTTTATTAAAATACAATGTTTGGCCTGTTTTAATTAATCTTTGATCTAAAGATCTATTATATGCATAAGTAACCACCTTTTCTTATAGAGTAGAATTCTAATTTTACTCAGTACCTCTGGTTATAACCTTGACCCCCACCACCACCCCCCGCCACCCTTCAAGCTGGTAAGACCTAGTAGGGCTGAAAGACAAGGATTTAGGAAGAGACAGGAGATAGGGGATATGTATTGAAAAGCAAAACTATGAGAAAAGTGTTTAGCACTCCTCTTTAAGCACTGACTTTTATTCACATTGCTATGGCACCATAAACCATTGGCAAAGCTGGAAAAGGCTGGTAATGATGCAGCTCATAACAGTTTTGAATCTCTCTTCAGGGGCCACATCAAACAGTTAACATTCGATTATGGAAAACCCAACCTGAAACAAGTTGCAAAATCTAAATTTTCATCAATGAAAAATTGTATCTAAGATTTTTTAATAATGGTAAAAGGTGAATCAGGAGCTCATATGAAGATAAACAGTCACAAGGATGTTATTATATTAGTTGCAATTTAAATTATTTTTTGTTATTATATAAAATGGAAAAACTGCCAGGGAGGTAGTACTACTGGCCCTGAAGAAGCAATATTCGGCTCATTCTGTTGTAAGCAGTCTGACGTGACAGCCTTAAAAAAATGATCATAGCTAATAGGATTATTTAAAAGGCTATTTCACTTTGATTAGTGATAAGAACTCAAATAATTAAATTTAATACAGAATCTATTTAACTCTGAGCTACTTGGTTCCTTCAGTTTCATGCACATTATCCTTAGCATATAAAGGACTGGTTAAGAGAAGGGCTTTCAAGTGCAAGCTTGAAAACAGGTCTGCCCTTTAGAGATGAGATGAAGGAAGATACTCATCAGTGAAAAGAAGGTAAGTAATACGCATCTTTCAAAGATGTCAAAAGGGTTCAATGAGGCAAAGTATGTAAAGTACCTAGCGCAGTACTTGAGAGTGAATAAATAATTTATGGTCCACCCCAAAACTGCAGAGAAAAAATTTTTTAGTTACATTTTGAAAAATCTCTTAAAACTAAAACTTTTGTAGACTGTAATGATCATATTGTAAATAACTTATGAATCTAATAGGCCAACATAAAAATTTTAAAAATTCTAGACATTCTTATATACCTATAAATAATATGGATGGCTATGTGCTTAGACTTAAGAATCCTTGTAAGTGAGAGGGATTAAATTTCAAATGATTAAAAAGAAAACATATAATGAAGTCAATAATACCTCTACATTATAAAACACGTGTGCTCCTACTACCTCTCTTATTTGGACAGATGGCAATTTCCACTTAGAGTTTAACTCTGTTGGCTGACTGCAGAGCTAATGAGGCCAGGAACTTGAATGAAGTTGATCCCTACGCAGGCCAATTAATTTCTCATGGAGAGAAATTCTGTTCTAGGTACAAACTGAACTTACCGCCCTAATTCGTACTTCTGTTAATAAAATGAGGACCAGGTAAAAACATGTGAATGGTTTAGTACCAAGCTGGAAGCACTAATAAGAAAAAAACAAGCCATATGTTCTTTGGAATAGGTCAACAACATCAGCCTTGTGCTAAATGGTAAAACTAGATTTAAAATGTTTGAAAATCACTTTACTGCTACCAGCAAATTCATGTTTATGTGAAAGTTTCAAAGGCTGTCAAGTACGTTCCCAGAATCCAGCTTAACTCCTTAACTTAGCATTCAGAACCCATCCCACCCCTACCGCCTCACGCCCCAGTTACAACCTACTTTTCCAGTCTTACTACTAACTTCCTTCAGGGTCACTCACCATTCCAACATCCCTGCATGTTCCGGAAATGCTTCTGCTTGTCTCCACTGCCCACTCCATCCCACTTTTCAGGCTCAAGTCAATGCTACCCACCCCTCAGCCCACAGAGATTTCTTCTGTGCTTCCACACATAATCAAACCTTACATAGACTTATATTTTGACCTACATCATAGAACTATTTGTGTATTCTCATCTCTCTCAGGGATGAGTAGTGTCTTAAGGGTAAAGATTGTATGTTTTTACATTTTTCCCTAATACCTCATTTGTTGAATTCAAATAAGAACGATTTCTAGAGATAGAATGATCCTATCACTCTAAAACATAAAATAATCACCATAAATAAAACATACCTTCACAAGAAGCTCAAACCTCTCCATTTTGCTCACTATAACAACAGCATATGTCTCATTTAGAGATCAGTGGAAAAGATAGGTGGAATTTTATTGTGAAAAGCCATTTGGGAATGCCTGACAGCTGTGCAGGAAAGAGCTCCACAAATCTTTGTGAGAAGACTGTCCCAGAGGAAGAGTGATTCTGTTTGGAATTTTTCTTTGTGTCATTCATTTCAAACACATAGCTGTAGTGTTAACTACTGATATGTGAAAAATGCAGTGGCACATTAAAATTAATTATTCCACACTTAATGAGTGCTTTTCTAACAAAATAATTAGCTTCAAGGAACAAAGAACTCTTCTTTGGCTACAAATCCAGAGGTCACGGAGGTCAGGTCTAAAAGACTGCAAGATTTTTCAAATGCTTACATTACTTTTGTCTGTAGTAAGGTAATGATGGTATGGTAATACAGAACTTGAAGAAATGTACCTACCTGCAAAAGCTATTATGGAATAAATGAGATCCATGTAATAGACTAAAAGAGAGCTAAAGAGAGTTAATATGCTCTTGAAGGGTCTGATCCTAGAAAGTTATCTGAAAAAGAAGAAGATAATTTCATGAAACACTAAGAGCTGTGACTGTCTCCCTGGTAGGTGCTTCCTAAAATTCTCCCTGGGAGAATGCAAAACAATATAATGTATCAGGAGATTTCAGATCCAAAGAAAGATATACACTCAGTTTATGGCTGCCATTCTCTTACTGCATTTTGTATTTAAGAATAGAATCTTCTGTTTCAGATGAAGGTAACAGTGTTTTTAATGTAGGTCACATAAAATAAACTAAGCGATAGAGAAAATTCAGACAAACCCTTGACGTTTTAAACCACATTAAGGAACAGGATTAGACTACCCTCTAGTGGAAGTTGAAGAGAATTCAAAAAACATTTTTCAAACATTTTCCCAGTTTTATGATAAAATGCACATCATAGTAATGTCACAGGATAAGAAAGTAGATAGAATTCAGATGATGCTATTCCATTTCACCTTTATAGACTGTAATTTCAATGTACAGACGATTACACTTTCCATCTCACCACATGTCACTCTGTGGTTTTGCATTCTAAACTATTATGTAGAACAAGAAAAACTGCATAACATCTGTCAATTTGCAAAGGCTAGAGAAACTCCCACCAGAATGAGAGCATCTTCACGGCAGGGACCGGTCTTATTCACTGCTCTATCCCCAAAGCCTACACAGAGCACATACCAGATGCTTGATACGTGCTTGGTCCTGCGCTGAGTGTTCTACGCTTGTCTTCTCACCAGCCCTCCAACTACCCTTTACGGCAGGTACTCTCGTTTTTCAGACAGAAAATAAAGCTGCAAAAGTTACAGAATCCGTATGAGGTCTCAGAGTCAGGAAGCCATGAACTGGGATCCAAACGCAGGTGGAGAGTCAGTTCCACAGCCCTTATTTTCCAGTTTCCAGCACACCTTTATCATTGTTTTCAAATGGTAAGCCTCACTGGTAATTATCTATTACACAGGTTTTTGTAAGCTATCTGCAACACACCCCATTTAAAAAATTGCAAACATGAATGGATTATCCATTTTTTCTTAACAAATTCCGAGGTATCAGGATAATTCAGTGAAAAGCATCATGAAAAGTCCAACTGCTCACATGATTATCAATCCTTCACTCTTTAATAGGGCCAAGACTCACGGGAAAGCAAGGCAAGCTGAAAAGAGATAAGTAATGTGGGAAATGGAGGGCCGACTGGAAATGATATTAGACCTGATAGTGAATAGGCAAAATGTTCAAAGTAAAAAAGTGAATCTACAGTTACTATTTTCTTCTAAGTTATTTTTATCTTTTATTATTATTACTTATAACATTACAGCAAAGTATTTAGATGATGAGGTATTTTGAGGCTACCAAAAAAATAAAAATAATTTCATAGTATGTAACATTTAAAACCCTATGTGCTTCTAAGATCAAGGATTAATGCATAAATTCATTAAAAGAAATTAATAAAATAAATTAATGATATAAATATGTTTATCAATCTAATCCACCCCAATTTGGCATGAAAATGTATTCCACAATGATTCCAAGAAGATTTAGTCACTTATCTGAAAGACTCACAATTTTAAAATACTTCGCCATAAGCTTTCTCAGGCCAACAAATCCCAAGTCTCTAGAACTCCAGTTTGACTTTGTTTTCTACAGTTAAATTACTAAGTGTAAGTATCAGGCAAGTAACTGTCGATGGAGTAAACCCTAAAGGTAGAATATATTTCAAACACTAATTCAAATTGGCAATACATAAAAAAAAAAAAAAAAAAAAAAAAAAAAAAAAAAAACCAATCCGGGAGCCTCCCTGGTGGCGCAAGGGGTTAAGATGCAACCCATGAAGCTATCCGCAGCCACTGCAGCACAAGTTCAATCCCTGGCCAGGGAGGTACCCACATGGCGCAGCAGACCTTTCCTGTCTCGCCTGCTGCTCCGCTCAGCAGTGTATGTTCAGTCAGTCTGCCTGTTCTGTTCCCTGCTCTGTCTCTGGTGAATCCTCTCACCCTCAACACCTCTGGCTTGTACCCCAGTTCTTGTATGCATGAATAAATAAATATTAAAAAAAACAATCATTTAGATATCAGAAGTATCTTCTAAGAAAACCAAACTCCCAAAATTGCTCAATATAGGTTAGACACTGACTTGAATTCAAAAAGCCCACCCCATTTATTTAAGAAGTTAAAATGGAGTTTCTAAAGAGGAAAGTACCTATTTTTTAAAAAGATTTATTTTTTTTATTTATGCATACAAGAACAGGGGTACAGGCCAGATGCACAGGAGGGTGAGAGGATTCACCAGAGACAGAGTGGGGGAACAGAACAGGCAGACCTAGTGAAATACACTGCTGAGGGGAGCAGCGGGCGAGGCAGGAGAGGTCTGCCACGCCATGTGGGTCACCTCCCTGCCCAGGGATCGCGCTCTTGCTGCAGAGGCTGCACAGCTTCACAGCACTGCGCTGCGCTCAACCACCTGCGCCACTCGGGAGGCCTTAAAGAGGAAAGTATCTTTAAAAAAAACATGAAACTCAAACAGGATATCAGATTTCTTATTGAGAATGAAAATAATGTATTTTATATTTTAAAAAGACTTAGATAAACTGCATTTCTGTGGCAAAATGCACTGAATCAGAAGAGTGGTATTAAGCAAACAGGTGAAAAGAGAATTTACTCTCAGCAGGAAAAAAGAAGGTAGGTTACTATGGGCAATTAACTCTGCAAAGAAACAGACAACCAATAAAAAGCAGCTAATTCAAAGAGATGCAGAAAGTTAAAACAAAAGAAAAAGAAAATTCCAAATACCTTGGGGGCTATTTCCATCAGTTTGCTATGAAAGGCTAGGGATGGCTCTACCCACAAGAGGGAAAAAATGCAGAGGGTAACCACAGCTATTATGCATTTTCCCCAAGATCCAGCAATCTCTTTTTCATGCCCTGGCTTAAGAAATAACAAAACACAGGCACCAAGATGACATTTGTAACAGTCAGAGTTCTAAGAAGACAACCATGAGAGAAACTGACAGCTGCCATGGAAACTGCTTCGCTCCCACTGAGGACGAATCATACAATCGGAATCCTGGATCCACAGCTTATTAACTATGTGACCCTGAGCAGGTCACAATCTCTCTAAATCTTACTTTCCTCATTTGTAAAGTGGATAATAAAAGCTACTTTTATATGCTTCTTGTGAGGACTAAAGATAATGTTATAAAGCACCTAATAATCTTTGACATAGTGTAGGTGCTATAAATGTTAGCTACTGTTACAAGCAACAGCATTCTAAATACCTTTTGGGTTTATGTTATTCACACACAAAAAAGTGATTCCTAGGGCAAGCTAGGGATAATTAGGCAGCCTCAAGGATGGTGCAGGGACTTCAGGAGAGTCAAGGAAGGCTCCAGAGATAAGGACAACAAAGTCCAATCAAACACCCCAGAATTTAGGACATTAGGGACTTACTTTATGACCTTAGGGTCAACAGGACATTCCGGATGGAGGATAAGGAAGAAAACAGATAAGGGCTGCAACACAGAGACTTAGTTCTGGGCACAGAGACATTTAGGCAGTGAGGGAGACCACCGAGAACTAAGCAATCACAGAGAGACTGGTGGGGCTTTAGAATAATCAGGGAAAGAAGGTCTGTGTTCCCTGAGGCCTGCCTCCACTTGGGCTTCCTTGCCCTTCCCTGGCCTGGTTCCATCAGCCTGGGAGTCCCACTTTATTTCTGTTCCTTTTCTCCTCAATAAACTTTTTCTTTCTCTAAACAAACCTGCCTCTTCTCGCTTGCTTGCCTGAGAGTCTGCGAAGTTCCTGCTGCAGTTTCGTGAGACACCAGCCCGTGGTGGGCTAGTGGCTGGGACTCAGCGTTGCCCCTGCAGCCTGGGATCCATTCCTGGCTGGGAGACTAGGCCTGAAAACCTGCAATTCGGTATCAAAAGCTTTTTATGACTTGCTGATTATGTGCTTTTTAAGTCCATTTAGTTTTCCATTTAAAAACATAAAACTGAAAAATAAAGAGATGGAAAGAGTATCCCTTACCTTCTTACTAATAGGACTGGTTTGGCTTATTGCCAAAAAAGTTTATCTCCTGTGTGAACAGACCTTACTTCTTCATCGAGATTTTAAGCTTGGTTAGAAAATAGTAAGCCACATATTAACCTAAGATGTGGAACTGTCAAGCATAAAAGTTTATTTTCTGAATATAAAACCAAGAAATAAAGAGTATCTGCATATAACGCATACCAATGAAAACAATAAAAAATTTACAGACTTCCACAATGTATATATAAATTTGGCAACACAGGTACCCTCATTTACATGGATTTGTTTGACCTCCTACCACTTTGAAAACCAAAAAGCATACTTCAAAACATGAAACTTGGGTCTCCCTGGTGGCGCAAGCGTTTAAGCATCAGCACTATGAAGCTATCAGGAACTACTGCAGCACAAGTTCTATCCCCTGCCAGGGAGCTGACCCCACAAGGCACAGCAGACCTCTCCTGCCTCGCCCGCTGCTTCCCTCAGCAATGTATTTTAGTCAGTCTGCCTGTTCTGCTCCCCACTCTGTCTCTGGTGAATCCTCTCACCCCACGCACCTCTGGCCTGTACCCCAGTTCCCATACGCATAAATAAATGAATCTTAAAAAAAAAAAAAAAGACGAAACTCTAAGCAGACTTAATTTTAAAAATAACTACTTCTGGAGTGCATCCCACAGTCATGACAAAGGCACCCCAATCTCTTTTATTTTCTACACTTAAACTTGACATTTCTAAATTTAAACAAAGACCTAATGTTGCAAAAAAACATGAGTCACTTTTAGAATCAGCAAAATCGCGTTTCCTGATCTGAAGAAAAACCTCATGGCATATTTAAAAAATCAATCCTACACTTTAAATGATTTTCTAATCCTCAGTTAATCAGAGTATGACGTTAACTAGAATTCACTTTACTACATTCCCCAAGATCTTAAGAATTTAATGTATTCTTAGAAAGTTTTAAAAGTATGCCAAGTCCAAGTTATTTTCACTCCTAAAAGTAATATACAGATACAAACATAAAACTTACTCAGATTTGCTGTCATGGATTCTAAATCTGCTATTAAAGCTGGAAGTTGCTGAAGTTGCTCCTCTAACTCTATCAGGCTCGTCTTCTTTTTCTCCCAGTGTGCTGACAGCATAACCACCTCACTATCCACCAGCTGCAACACAGAAGAGAAAGATAAAGTAAAACCAGATTTTATGACCGAAGAAATTATAGCCAGCATGAGAGTCTTTAAAAACACCTCTTCTGAGTTTAAACAACAGAACACTCTCACAGAGACTAAGGTTGTTTTCTTTCTTAGAAAAGAACCAGTGCAGAAAACCTCAAATTATTGCTTGTATCAGTACATCTTTACCAAAGAAGAGAAAGGTCAAAAATGACCTTAGAAATCACTTCTAAGTATAACCTGTTTTTAAGGAAACCATGCATTTGAAAACCCAAATCTAGAAAAAAATAAAACAAAAACTACCACTGACATCAGAAAACAAACAAATATAATTAACGGGTAATTATTTGGTTTACAAAGTGCATTCTTCCCAATGCACTTATACTACACTATGATTCAATTTACATTTAAACAGAAATAGTTATTACATAGTAAGGTGAATTGTGTTTACATATGAAGAAACTGAGGCAACTTGATCAATTTCAGAAAAAGGAAAAAACTATTTAAATGTACGAAGAAGGAATTCAGATATAAAGGGCTTCAAATAGCAGGCTTGTGAGATACTAGCCTAGCCTAAACTACAGGACCTAGCATAAGATTCAGAAGGGGAAGGACAGGTCATCTTCTGAAAACAGCACTAATGGTATACAAGACTTGTGAAAGACACCCACATTCACTGCAGTAAATACTAAGAAAAAAATTCACTATAAATAGAATAAAATGCATATGACTACTATATGTAAATCAGAGTTTTCTATATGTAATCAGAGTTGCCTCAGTTTCTTCATACGTAAATACAATTCACCTTACTATGTAGTAAGTATTTCTGTTGAAATGTAAATTGAATTATAGTGTAGTATAAGTGCATTGGGAAGAATGCACTTTGTAAAGCAAATCATTACCTGTTAATTATATTTGTTTGTTTTCTGATGTTACTGGTAGTTTTAATTTTTTTCTAGATTTAGGTTTTCAGATACATGAACTCTGATTTACATATAGTAGTCATCTGCATTTTAAAAAAAGACAATTTACATATCCCAAGACTAAGATTCTTTAGGAGTCAGAACATGAATTCAACTATTCTTACTGAATCTCACTAAAGAAAGATCTTTAGAGAAATACAAATATGCAATTAAGATACAAAACTATTTGTATGTGGTGCCAGATATTTTTATATTCTAGGAATTCGCAACCCTGAAATAAAAGAACTAAGGTACAATTAGGAGTTTAGAAGGCTGCCTAGTTTCCTCTGTTCACATTTCACACACCTCCCCTTTGTGCAGCTCACACTGAAAGGATAACCTGTCTCACACATAAACCTCAACTGAACTGCAGAGGTGACAGCAAGCCTTATTCAATTTGCATTTCTTGTTAATTTTGTATACTTTGTTAACTTTGTATATTTTATTGGCAAAACCAGCTTGTTAACTGGTTTTATAAAAAATACCTAAGTGCAAAAGAAATACTGAGAAGCACTAATAGATACAGTTGAAACAAATTTAAGGAAAGCTTAAAACAAGGGTCTGCATTCACAAAATTCATTTACAGCGGTTGAGCGCTGGGCTGCGAGGCTGCCGGCAGCCTCTGCAGCGCTGGTTCGTTCCCCCACCAGTGAGGGTCCCACAAAAAAAAAATTCATTTACAAAAGTCAACAAACTTCTGATGCATATCTACTATCTGCCAGGCACTGTTTTAGGCACTGAAGATACAAATCAAAAATGACCCTGGGCCTCCCCTGGTGACACAGCGGTTGAGCGCTGGGCTGCGAAGCTGCCTGCAGCCTGTTCAGTGTCAGTTCAATCCCCGACCACCGGCGAGGGTCCCACATGGCTTAGCAGACCTCTCCTGCCGCCCGCTGCTCCCCTCAGCAGTGTATTTCATCAGTCTGCCTGTTCTGTTCCCCGCTCTGGCTCTGGTGAATTCTCTCACCCTCCTGTGCTTCTGACTGTACAAAACAGTGCTGTATAAATAAATAAATAAATCTTTAAAAAAAAAAAAAAGGAATTGTCTCCAGAAGGCAATTTTTTCCACCTTCAAGTAAACAATGCTTAATAAATCCAGATGTAACATCAAGAAATTAAGCTTAAGTAGCAAGAGAAACTCATAGTACTTCATTCCATTATACACTTTAGTGAACGCTGAAATTAGGAGAATTAAGAAAAAGCAGGGGATACTAACAATTTACAGAATGACTAATAATCGGAACTTTGGTAAAATCAATGTTCAGAGTTTGGGGGGAATACATTATTTTATGTGATTTCCAAACAACTTTGGTAAGGAGGTTAAGAGGTTTAATACTATTTTATAGACAATGAAACCAAAAAAATAGAGACTAACTTATTTGACCAAGTTCAGAAACTAAGATTTCCTACACCCAGTTCAGTTCACTTTTGACAGAGACAGAGGACATCCACGCTGGAACACAAGGAGAATGAAGCAGGTGTAATGCTTGTACATCAAAGTGTTCGACAAAATCACGAATCTTAAGAGTTCAATCAGAAAGCAAGCAAATATTTCATAACAATGGGAATTAGAAGCAAATAACTCACTGTAAGTCTAACTTAAAAATTTGCCCTCAGAGTCTAACCCCTAAGTCATTATTAACTATTCATTATATATATATTGCTAAGGGAGAAAAAAATAGCAAAAAACTTAGAGAAAGTCTAGACAACAAAGTTGCTATTGACCGTAACTGTTTTTTAAGATATTGCTCTGAATTTTAAGAATATATATAGTAAGATCAGCTTTAAAGGAGATGAGTGTAAAACAATTTGTCAACAAAATTGAATTGTCCCTAGGTATATTTGCCCTGGCAGGTTAAAGCTGTTTGGCTAAGGGTCAACAAAGACGCACAAATAAAGTCTGAAAAAATAATCACGTAAGTTTAAAACTATACATTGTATTTTATTTTATTTTTTTAATAAAAATGTATTGGTATTGGTTTATTAATAGTGATAGACACTAATTTTTTTTTTCTTCTTCCCACCCCCACCAGGTGTAGTTCCCAGTTTCCTTCCCCAAGGCACCCGTGCACCATCACCTCAGTCCCCTGTGCTCCTCCCTCCCTCCCTCTGATCCCTCTCCCTCCTCCTCCCCTGCAGGAAGTCTCTGATTTACAATTGTCTGTTTTTGCTTTGTTGTGTTTTGCACAGTTATTATTTTTTACACTGATGTGTTATTTGGTTCGCCTTATATTACTGCTATAAGCGAAACCATCCAATATTTTCTTTTTCCTTCTGGCTTATTTCACTGACCATAATTCCTTCTAGTTCCATCCATGTTGCTGCAAATGGCATGAGTTTAAAAACTATACATTTTAAAGATGAAGATTTTAAATATTTATATGTGTCAACAGTACATCAGAGAGCTTTAAAACAAGTTTTCACTTTTAAATATAATACTTTAAGTATTATATTTCTGGAAAGCAACAGAGCTAGAAGTAGGCCTTAACCAACTAATCAACTAAGAAAAAATTTGAGCTAAAACAGCTTGAATTTAATAACAGATCCTACAGGAAATTCTTTCTCTTATAAATTTTATTATGAAATACTTCTAACAATCAAAAGAATAATTTTTATTAAAACTTCCCTATGGTCTAGTCTTCACTGAACATAACAAGATTCATCCATGTTGATACATGCAGCTGTTGTTGCTCAGTAATTTTCACTATGGTAACCTATTTGATTTTATGAATACTCTGTAGATGAACTGTCTAAAGTTTCAACAATACCTCCCCAAAACAAATCAGTAACCTACATCTGCAAGTTTCACAAATGAATTTCAGATGTGTCCAAAGCATCATTTCTATAACCTGGCTACTGTAAATAATGCTATAATGAACATAAAAGTGCATATATCCCCTCAAATCAGGTAGATACCTAGGAGTGGAATTGCGGAATCAAATATCTATTTTTAGTATTTTGAGAAACCTCCATACTATTTTCTATTGGGGCTGGACCAGTTTACATTCCCACCCACAGTATAAAAGTGTTCCTTCATCTCCACATTCTTGCCAACACTGTTACATATTATTCACTCAGACACATGTGAGTTTCTATTTCATTATGGTTTTGATTTGCATTTCCCTGGTAAGTGATGATGAACAATTTTTTCCTGTTCCTACTGGCTATCTGAATGTCTTCTTTGGAAAAGTGTTTTTGTTCCTATTTTGACTGGGTTATTTCCTTTCTTTTTGTTGAATTTTAGGAGTTCTTGTAAATCTTGGCTATTGTCCAAGAGATTGATCTCTCCCAGAGTGGCTCAACAGGGCTTAAGGTAACTAGACTTCCCCCAGTCAGGTGTGGTACATATACACTCAGCTATAAAAAAGATAAACTCTGCCATTTATGACAGAATGGCTGGAACAGAAGAGGATAACCCTAAGTGAAATAAGTCAGAAGAAGAAAGACAAATACTGGGTGGTGTGACTTATATGTGGAATACACAGAAACAAAACAAAGGATCAGGCAAAACTGAACCAATAAAAAAGTCCTAGAGGTCTGACTATAGGATTGAGGATACCAGTTGGGGTGGGGGTGGGGGCGCAGGAAGAGATAAGGAGAGACGGGGTGGGGGTGGCACAATGGATTATGGTGAAGGACTCTGGGTGCCTTGGTAGTGGGTGTGGTGTGGTGACAAACATCTCAAGTGGTGTGATCCTATGGCTCTGATCACATAGTGTTGGAAAACAATGTTACCTCAAAAAAAAAAAAAAAGTTTGGTAATCAGAAAACTGTTTTAAAGCAGTTCAATCCTAATTGATTGCTATCTCTCTACAGGTGTGGAACCTTTTTTCTTGATCAATAACAAGATTTATCTACCATATTTTATTAGCATTTTCTAAGAACTTCTGGCTTTGTTTAGCTAAGATAGTATATTTTATATTTTAGTTCATTTACTTCTCTTACCCTTTATTACCTCATTCATTCTTCCTTAGAACTTTGTTCTATTTTCTTTCCACACATATAAGTTAGATTAGCTCATTGACTTGTCCTTATTTTATCTTTGTAAATCCTCTATTTACAAAATCTATTTGATTTTAGCAAATTCTAGTTTATGTGTAGTATTATTATCATTCAGTTCTATTTTAAATTCAGTATTTTTCCTTCTTTCTTATTCGTAACTTCTAAACATATAGAATTTTCAAAATTGCCTTCCTGTGTTGACTTTCAGCTTCATTTGCAACAGGATCAGAGAATGTTCTGTATGACCTCATTTATATGAAACATGTTGAGAACTGCTTTCTGATTTTTATTTGTTCCAGAACGGCTTTAAAGAATTTATGTTCTATATCTGCTGGGGTAGAATTCCATTTGTCCATCTGGTCCAGTTTGTTCATCACAGTAATGAAATCTTTTATATACATACTTATGTTTTTTCTCCTATCAATTAAGAACAATGTATTAAAATTTCCCCACTTAGGTAGGGAGGGGAGCGGAGGGATTGGGGTCAAAATAAGGGGGTTGCAATTATATGGGGAATATAAAAATAAAATTTATATTAAAAAATAAAGTATTACGCAAAAAAAAATTAAAAATAAATAAAATTCTCCCACTTTAATTATGAATTTACCTACTTTATCCTTGTAATTCTATTTATCCTTATATACTTACATTAGGAACACACAAGTTTAGACTTTTCCACCTTAGGGAACTGAATCTGAACATTCTAGAGTGGTGCTCTTTTTCCTGATACTGCTTTCTTTCCTTTCATTTTAAGTCTACTTGATTGATACTAATATATCAGCTTTCTTTGTAAAATGCTTGTATCTTTTTCGATCTTGTATATTCAATCTTTCCGGGTCTTTAATGTACCAGATGTGCCTCTTGAAAAACATGTCTTTCAATGTATGTCTTTTGAATAGGCAAGACTAGTCCATTAACAATTACTGTGAGTGCTGATAGTTAGATTTTTACCACCTTTTCTGTTATTTCTGTTATTTTCCTCCTGGTTACCTTTTGGACTGATTGAATTAATTCTCATGATTCTAGTTTCTTCTACCACAATGGTTTGAAAGAGACACTATTTCTATTCTTTAATGATCACCCTTGAAATTCTGCCCTCCATAGTTAAATTTAAATCTGAGGTTAATCAATACCTATAACTTCTCCATAATAGTACAGGGCACTAGACTATTCGAACTCTGATAACCTGCTTCCCAACTTACATGCTACTGTTATCCAGCATTTTTGTTATATTATTTTTAATCCCACAAATTCAATAACTGATCTATATTTTTGCTGTTTAGATACAGCCATGGTTTGCCCTTTCCTTTGGTCATTAAACTTTCCTATATCTCAGATCTATCTTCCAAAATCCATTTTCTTTTAAGCATGAAATGAAATCTTTAGAAGTTCCTTCATTGAGTCACTGTTAACAGAAAACTCGACTTTTATACGAAAATACCCTACATTGCCCTCATTATTGACAACAGTTTGAGATGTCTGATTAGGTGATTTATCTTTTCTTTTTGGCTGCTTTGAGATCTTCTAGTGTTCTGTAGTTTCAAGACAAGGTGTTCAGGTGTCATTATTTATCTTGTTTGCTTATTTTCTTCATTTCTTGAAAATTCTTAGTCATTTATCATTTGTCCTTCCCTCATGCCCTCTTTCTAGAATGTTTACTGGATATATTAAGCTGACTCATATGAAACTATAACTTTAGAGATCGAAATTGGCCCAATATTTATAACTCTACTTGGTTTGACCTAAAAATTCTATTCTTTCTTAATGCCTCTTTTGTATTTTTTTTCTTAGATAGCCTTTCTGAGTAATTAAATTTCTTTTCTACTTCACTGTATCCTTTCTTCAGCTGTATATAATTGCTGTTATACACATCTTTTGGGTTATTAATTTCAATAACCTTTAAAGTCATGTTTGATAGAGTCTTATTCCTTACTCATTTTTAATCTGTCATTTCTTTAATGACTTTGCATATACGTCTGTAATAGTCTATACCCAATAACACAATATCTAAATTCCTTTGTAGAGCTAAATCTTCATATTTGTACTGGTGACTCAAACTTTTGATAATGTATTTTTTTGTGGATTCACAATTTTTTGGAAAGGGGTGCTGGGAAATCAATCTGTGAGAATATCCAGGGTCCTACTTTACATCCAAACAGAATTTATGTTTGTTCCTGTTGGGAGTCAAAAACCAATTACTTGTGACCCTCTCATTCCTTACTTTAGCAGGTCCCTGATCACGTAGAAGTATAAATTAGAGGTCCACATCATGTGAGCCAAGACCAGGTTACAATTCAAAAAGGAGATAATATTTATTCCAAGTTTTTATAAGGACAGACATATTTCCTTGTTGCCTCCTTTTGCCAACAAGTAGCTTTCCTTCTCTTGTTTTTCCTTTTTCCCACTTAACCTATCACCGAGGGATGTGACCACTTTTAAGATTCAAGATTTTTATGTGGGCGTCTCACATGTAGTACTCCGCAAGGTAGCCAATCCCCATAAATCTCCAAAGGTTCTGATTTTGAATTTGTTCCATGTTCTTTTTAACCACTCTAATTTCAGTTCCCTATTTACTTTTTGGTCCTTTGGAAATTCCCTAAATTTTTGTAAACTTAATGCATTAAAAAAATTCAAAAAAAATTCTATCTAGCATTTAAACGCTTTATAACTATAGTTTTTTGTTAACATTATCTAACCTACCCTACTACCAGAAACCTATAAGAAATTTCTATGAGAATCACTAATAACTAAATTGTAACAGATGTATTGCAGTGTTCAACACAAATGTTGCAGCTTCACTAATTTAAGTAAATGGTAAAGAAAGTCAGTCTAAATTAAAAAGTAGAATCACGGAAGAACTTTTAGAAAGGAAATTTGATGAATATCAAAATTTGATGAATTTACAAGGAAGCTAAGTAAATGTATCAAATAATCCATTACACACACTACACATAGGGCTAGAAAACAGTTTTTCTAAGTGAATAGAGATGACGTTGAAATTTTTATATTTGTTAAGCAAATTAGTGATTTTAGGTAGACTGAACAAAGTCAAGCTTTTGCCCAAATGACAATGAATGAGAAAGAAGCTATGTATAATAATTTATATATACTACAAAGGTGGCAGACTCAAACTCCAAGTATTATACCTATATGAGTCAAGTATTTACTTGTGACTTGAATACAAAAGTTGTATAACACTCTAAGTCTAACTAAACTTACTTGACTGAGAAATTATGAAAAAATGATTTAAGGCACTTCATAGTCAACTATCAAATTCAATTTCAGATATCCTGTAAAACACTGTAATATAATTACAAATCTAATTTCTTAAAAACTAGCACTAAAGATTACAAAAGGGTATTTTCTTCTTAAGTATAAGATTAGCCAATTTCTTACCTCTCCAGCACTTGCACATTCCTTGGATCTTCTGTGAAGTGCAGCCCAGGTATCTTCATATCTAAGAAAAACAAAAAAATAATTCTAAATGCAAAACACATTTTAAAAAAATACTATCTAAAGATGAAACTGGAACATCCTATACTGCCAGAATGGAAAACTTAAAAAAAAAAAATTGCAAGGACACAGAATTTAATTTGAAGTGTCAGTAAACACAGTCATTGTTTCAGGTACAAATTTTAATGGATGCTAAAATGAGTGGATAAGAGTATGAAAAGGACACGTATATTGTCTTAAAGTCTTTCCTCAAGATATTCATTAAGTAAAAAGAGAATAAGAGTATTACCAGTGGAGAAACCAGGCAGATACCCCCTTATGCAAATGACCACTATGAAAATATCAATGGCGGGCATCCCCTGGTGGCAGTTGCGTGCTGGGCTGCTGATTCGATCCCTGGCCACCGGGGAGGGTCCCACATGGTGTGACAGACCTCTCCTGGCCCCCGCTGCTCCCCTCAGCAGCGTATTTCTTGGTCAGTCTGTCTTTTCTGTTCCCCACTCTGGCTCTGGTGAATTCTCTCACCCTCCTGCACTTCTGACTGTACCCAGTGCTTATATAAATTAATTAAAAAAAAAAAAGAAAAAAGAAAACATCAATGGCAATAAGACACAACAACAACATGTGCTTGGGCAGGGCACAACATTGCTGTCCTGGTATTTTTGCCAAAAAGGAATTACTTGTATTCAATCATTAGAAAATAAACCCAAATTGAGGGACATTTTGCAAAATAACTAGCGAGTATGGTTCAAAAGTCTCAAGGACATGAAAAAAAAAAGAAAGACTTTCCCAGATTGAAAGAGTTGAAAAAGATGACTAAATGCAACATGTGTCCCTGGATTGGATCCTGGGCCAGAGAAAAGGACATCAGTGGGACAGCTACCTCGTTCCTCTCTCTTTCAAACCTTGGCAAACACTAATCTTATTTTCTGTCTCTTTGGTTCTGTCCCATTCTACACATTTCACACAAGGGAATCATATACTATGTGGCTCTTTGGGTTGGCTCCTGTCACTTAATTTTTTTTATATTTCATCTATGTTGTAGCATGTATCAGTACTTCATTCCTTTTTATGGCTGAATAATATTCTACTGTATGGACTGACCACATTTTTTATTATTATTATTATTATTATTAGTTCATAAATACTTGTATTGCTTCTACTTTTTCTTTTTGACTGTTAAGACTAATACTGATTTATGAATAATGCTGCTATGCACATTTGTGTATAAGTTTTCATGTGGATGTAAATTTTCAGTTCTCTTGGTGTGAAACTGCCAGGTCACATGGTAATTCTGTTTAAAATTTAGAAACTACCAAACTGTTTTTCCACTGTAGCTGTACCATTTTACTTTTCTACAAGCACATGGCTTCTAATTTCTGTCTCTTGTCAGCCACTTGTTAGTGGCTGTCTTTTTGATTATAGCCATGCTAGTCGGTGTGAAATGAAATCTCAAAGTGGTTTGGATTTGCATTTCCCTTGATGATTAATAATGTTGAGCATATTTTCATGTGCTTATCGGGCATTTATAAAGCTTTAGAGAAATGCCTCTTCAAATCCTCTGTTTATTTCTTCACTGGGTTGTCTTCCTGTTGTTGAGTAATAAAAATCCTTCACATACTCTAGATACAAGTCCCTAATCAGATGTATGATTTGCAAATATTTTCTCCCATTCTGTGGATTGTTGTTTGACTTTATTTGTGGTCATCTTTGAAATGCATAATTTTTAAGACCAATTTATCCATTTTTTGTTACTTATTCCTTCTGGTGTCATGTCTAAGAAAATATGTAATTTAACATAATATGCATATAAGTAGGGATGGATTGAAGAAGAAATGGTATAAAGTTAACAAAGTAAGACACTTACTGAGGACTCCAATTCAGAATCAATTTCCTTATAACAAAGAAATCATAAACCTAGTGAATACACATAATGAAGTGTGAAACAATAAGAAAGTGATTAATCTGCCCAAATTCTGAATGTCTTTTGCATTAATCAGTAAAAAGTAAAAAAGCCCCTCAGGGAAGTAAATAATTTCCTATCACTATGTTAAGGCAAAATTCAGTTTTAAAGGCTCTATTTATAAAATTATAAAATATTTTTAGACAATAAAATAGTCCAAAGCATAAATTTCTTAATGAAAACACTCACCTGCTAAGTAATTCTAACCCAGCAGAGTACTTTGGCAAATACGGAACAGTCCTGCTAAAAGAAATACGCATTTTATTAAAATTACTTTTGACTTGGGACAACTTAAGAAAATTATATACAGGAATTCTGAATTCAAGAATTGTCAATTGTAATGTGCAATAATCTAAAATCACTAAATAATAACAATTTACATTTCTCCTTGGTCTTTTGGCTAAGATCAATTGTAGTATAATAACAATTTATCTAAATTACATTTGCTACCTTTAGCAAGACGTCTTGTTCTATTTCAAAGTTAACATACTAGAATGTGCTATAAACCATCACTCTGCCCTGTAGGTAATGCCAGATGGTAAGAATTTTTTTTTAAAGTTCTTCATCTCTAGGTTGAAAGTAAAATTTGGTCATATACTTTAGTAAAAAAATTAAAAACATTATACAACTATCATGGGTATCCTCACATATAAAACAGGTAACACAACTAAAGAGGCTCATTTGCCAAGTACTATTTCATTATTAATTTGCTTCTCAGTAATAAAGGATTTTTATTTGTTCTTAACATTCAAATAAAAATGCCACTGATTGCCACACAGTAAAACAATTATTCCCCCCAACTTTTTGAACACTTTATAATTTTATCAGAAAATTTTCCAATCACAAAATTTAGAATCAGTATTATTTTATAGTCAAATTCGAGCAACCTACTAAAGTAATATTATTACTATGACAACTAAAAGTCATAAAAAATGAAATCAGCACAAGCTTACCTGGGTTTACTTTTTACTTTAGCCTCTCTTGACTTGTCACTTAAAGTCTTCAGCCTATAATTCAACAAGAATATATTTTTACAGATTAAAAGATGTTTTTCAAATGTAAATTTCACAGAGGTCAGTGCAACACTATTTATAATAGCCAGGGTTTGGAAGATGTGTTATAGCCATACCAAGGAATACTATTCAGCCGTAAGGAAAGAGGAAGTGTAGCTATTTACAGCAAAATGGTGGGAACTTGAGGGAATTATGTGTACTAAAGCAAGTCAGAAAGACAATGACAGGGCCTCCCTGGTGGCGCAGTGGTGTAGCGCTGGGTTGTGAAGCTGCCCGCAGCCTCTGCAGCACCGGTTCCATCCCCGGCCCCCGGGTAAGGGTCCCACATGGTGCGCAGACCTCTCCTGCCGCCCGCTGCTCCCCTCAGCAGTGTCCTTCGGTCCTTCTGCCTGCTCTGCTCCCCGCTCTGGCTCTGGTGAATTCTCTTACCCTCCCACGCTTCTGACTGTACCCAGTGCTTGTATAAATAAATAAATAAATCTTTTAAAAATAAAAAATAAAAAATAAACACTATGAGGATTCTGCAGTTAAGGAGGGAGAAAGGAACAGGGGATATCAGGGATAATGGTGGGGAAAATAAATAGTCAGATAAGCTAAACTCTTAGCAAGAAATAAGTATCTCGACAGACAACAGATATTTGAGTGTTAACTACGTGTCAGCAATCACAAAGGAAAAGTTGTAGCAAATATCTGTATTTTTTCTTGCCCAAACCCCTAAAATTACTGAAGTATAGAAACTTCATTTACTTGGCATCCTTAGAAAAAGAAGTGGTCCACACAGGTGAAGAAGGTTGGTAACAGAGAGTCTAAGGAGCACCATTTAATAAGGAAATATTATTCCAGGCTCTCAAATCTCCTTAAGTGTCAACAGTTTTACCTGTTGATGAACAATTTTCTAAAATGTAGTAAAATGATTTCATTGAAGAGTCAGCATATTCTATTTAAGATTTTCTAATAACTATAGTTCAATATTGTAGTTACCACAGGTGCACTTTGTGCCAAAACAGTACCGTCCTCAGATGTTTCTATAATAGGAATACCTCTTTACTTACCAACTTGAAACAACCTATAGTGGTTTTTGAGTCTATTTGGGACCCTGTGTCTTTTTTCTCTAAATTTCAAACTTTCATCCCTACCTCTACTACTGGTCATCTGGTTATTAGCTGTCACTTCTGTTCGCTACTTAAGTTTATCCTCCCCCTTTCCTATTTACTTTTTTAAAGTTTTCACTGCAAAAGAGATGAATGGGCTAGAAATAAAGTAAAACAAATCAGATTCCCTGACATATAAAATATGCCCAAAGACTCTGAGCCATTTATTGTAGACCCTGCCATATAACTGAAGTTTCCAAAAAGCAAGGACCAAATTATGAGACCATTTCATACACAATAAGATATATAATGAAATACGTTCTTACTTTGATAATTAAATATTCCTTTCTAAATAGTCTGAGCACAGGCCACAATGCCACTGCTAGGCCCTACACAGTCCTTGTAAATAGAGAAACAGGCGGCCCTTTCTCAAGACACTTGACTGTGCCAGAGACTGCCCTATAATTCAAGCTGTCACTCATGAGTGCCACAATTCTGAGTGGTGCAATGTACAACCTGCTCTATACATGCAAGCCCTGACACAGAAGTCCTTTTTTTGTTAATAATGCCTGCCTAAGCACCAGCATGGAATTTCTGATGAATTTACTTTTTAAAACAAGGTGGAATGTCCATTTCATGCAGATGTTTACAGTACTCTACGTTCTTTTTCAAAAGCTAAAATATTGATGAGGCTAATTTCTTCACAATGTTGAAAACATTCAGCAATCTCTTTAATACAAAGCTAATTTATAAATATTTCTCCAAATGAGTCTAGGGAATTAAAGTTCAATCTTTCTTAAAGAACATAAATTTTTAAGCTGATCTCGGAAATTGGTAAATCAGGTTTAAACTAAGATTAAGCAATAGATAATAGGGCCTCCCCTGGTGGCGTAGCAGTTGAGCGCTGGGCTGCGAGGCTGCCCGCAGCCTCTGCAGCACAGGTTTGTTCCCCGGCCACTGGGGAGGGTCCCAAAAAAAAAAAAAAAAAAAAAAAAAAATTAAAAGGAATAGATAGTACATAGTATTATAATAGTTAGGCTCAACCATTCACACTCCCAAATTTAAGAAAGGCATTTGGTTATGACAACTCAGGTAGAATTATTCCAGGATAGTCATACACAGCAGTGCATTACGATCAACATGATTTTAGTATTATTTTTGGTGATTTGGGACAATTCCAATGTCCCCTTCCCCCCAATAAGAAAAGATTAGTTAGGAATAAAAGAGAAAATACAAAACATTAAGAGAAGGGTCAAAAAGATCTTCCCCTGTGTGGCTCCTTAACCATCTGCTTTAAATATTGGTCTTTGATCAAATGTAATATGTGGAACTTATTTTATCTGGATTTAAACAAATGAACTGTAAAAAGACATTTCTAAAAATCAGGAAATGGTTATGGACTGGGTAACTGCAGAGATCAAAGAATGAGTGTCAATTTTGTTAGGTGGGGCACTGGCACCGCGTTTATGGACTGTCTCTGTGCTTTAGAAGATGCAGACTGGTGATAATGGGCAGGTCCGAGAATACAAATCCCCTGACATGAGGAGACACACAACAGATGTGGCAATAGTTGGCAATTCCTGAATCTAAGTAATGGATATGTGGGGTATACTATGTTATTTTATTTCTGTGTATGTTTGAAACTTGGTAAAAATATTTTAGCAAAAAGCCTTTCATTTTTCTTATAACTTCTCATATAAAGTGTCAATGTGCCAAACTTCAGAACAGAAATTAAATTGTAGAAGGACACAAAGTAGCTAAGAGGAAACAGTCAAAAAACAGTAAGTAGCAACAGGTTACAATGACAATTCTACAATTGAACAAATAAAAGGTCAGATATGTTTAAAAAGTAACAAAAAGGCCCCAGAAAGGTCCTTCCTGAAATAAATTCTCAAAAACCAAAATTCAGCTGAAAGTAGCTCTCCACTTTTACTTTGATCCTGTGCTGAAAATAACCAACTAGAGTAAAGTCCACTTAGTGCCCCACAGTGCATGGCACACTGAGAAGGAAATACTGTGTAGTGTCACACCTGCTTTCCTCAGACATACACCAGTAGTTTGACACTCGGCCATGACCTGCCACAATAATTAAATGAAATTCCACTGTGACTTTGGCAGCACTGTTAACTGCAAAGCTAGTTCAAATGAAAGGTATAAAAACTGTCCCCATCAAGAAGGGTGAAAAACTAAATTCAGTACACTATTGGGCTAAAGTGAAATAGAGGCTCCCCGATGCAGCAAGTCCTATACAAGGTTTGCCCATAACTTCTAAAATACCACAGACCCCCAGGAAGACGTAAGTGCTGCCATTTATCAATAGACTTAAGTGAGCCACCGGACAATTATTTCCTACTAAACACAACTACGTGTGCTTTTGAGTTCAAAGCACTAAACCTCAAATTCATCATAACGCTTTAATAATTTATTTTCAGATTGCTCCTAAGACTTTATAATAGGATCTTTGTTTCTTCAAGCTTTGTAGAAAAATACTAAAATGGTAGGATCCTACGAAGATAAAGATGACCAGCAAAACTACTTATACAAAAAGTTTAAAAAGAAGTAAATAAAATAATGGATGGGGCATTACAAAGAATGAACAAAACAGTGCTTTCTCTAGCAGATTCGACATCATGGGGTGACCTTGATGGCTTCTATTTATTTGTACCTCAATTTTCTATTCATCCAGACTTATCTATTATGAAAGGTGAGAGTGGCTTTCTTTAAAACACCACAAACTATATTAATTAGCATATTTTGTCATTAAGGATCTTTTTTAAAAAGATTTATTCATTTATGTATACAAGAGCTGGGTGCAGGCCAGAGACGCAGAGGGTTGAGAGGACTCACCAGAGTCAGAGTAGGGAGCAGAACAGGCAGATCGACTGAAATACACTGCTGAGGGGAGCAGCGGGCAAAATAGGAGAGGTCTGCTGCACCATGTGGGTCACCTCCCTGGTCTGGCCAGGGATCAAACCTGCACTGCCAGTGGCTGCAGATAGCTTCATAGTGCTGCATCTTAACCCCTTGCGCCACCAGGGAGGCCCAAGGATCAATTCTTTTAACTACAATTGTTAATCACACTTAGAAACCCATAAGACTTTTAAATTTTGAAAACTGGGCAATTCATAAAAAAAGCTTCACAGACACAGGAAAGAGAGACTAATTAACCCTAAACACACTATTTCCCTCTGACAGCTCTCCTGAGTGTTTCTTAAATTTCCAACTGCTTCGTGGATGTCAAGCTCTAAGTTACCTCACAACAAATTCATGGTCGGGCCTCCCTGGTGACACAAGGGGTTAAAACGCAACCTATGTAGCTATCCACAGCCACTGCAGCACAAGTTCGATCCCCGGCCAGGGAGCTATCCACATGGCGCAGCAGACTTCTCCTGATACACCTGCTGCTCCCCTCAGCAGTATATTTCAGTCAGTGTGCCTGTTCTGCTCCCCACTCTGTCTCTGGTGAATCCTCTCATCCCCCACACCTCTGGCCTGTACCCCAGTTCTTGTATGCATAAATAAATCTTTAAAAAAAATTCATGGTCAACAGCTCCTTCTCTATTGAAACTATTCTTAAATTCTTTTATATTAGTAAATGACATCATTTATCTATGATTGATACTCCAAAATTAACACCCTCAACTTCTCTAACTTTTTCACTTCCTACATCTCACTGTTTACAAATTTGACCAGCACTGGTCCATCCAGTCCCTCCTTAAAAATTAGTTAGGAATTGGGGCCTCCCCGGTGGCACAGCGGTTGAGCGCTGGGTTGCGAAGCTGCCCACGGCCTCTGCAGCGCAGGTTCGATCCCCGGCTGCTCCCTGGCCACCAGAGGAGGGTCCCACATGGCGCGCAGAACTCTCCTGCCGCCCGCTGCTCCCCTCAGCAGTGTACTTCGGTCCTTCTGCCTGCTCTGCTCCCCGCTCTGGCTCTGGTGAATTCTCTCACCCTCCAGTGCTTCTGACTGTACCCAGTGCTTGTATAAATAAATAAATAAATCTTTAAAAAAAAAAAAATTAGTTAGGAATTAAAAAGGAAAAAAAAAAAAAAGGAATGTTACAGAGAGTTGAAAATGAAATTGTGGAAAGGTCAATAAGAGCTTTCCCCCATGTGGCTCTACCAGCACTGCCTTATCTCTCTGCTGATTACAGCCTCCTAAATAATCTTCCCTGTCCCCCATCTCTGCCTCTCAAATAATTCTTCCAGAATCTTCTCAACAAAAACCTTCAAAGAATTCAGTCAACCTAAAAACAAGCCAGGACCACCTGATGTGAAACAGCAATTAGCCCATCCCAATCCCCCTGAACCTGCTTTACTTTTAGCCATCATTTTTTTACCTAGATATTATGCTTTCCTGTCACTACAAAAAGCACAGGGGCATTATTTGCTGTCTTGTGTGGTCTCTGCTATATCCCTGGCTCCCAGAATAGTGCCTGTCACAGAGTAAGTGCTCAATAAATACTTAACGCATTATTTTAGCAAATCCTCTACTATCAGCCACTAAAGTTCCTTTCCCGCTCCATCTCCCACAACTGCTTCCAAGTTGAAATGCTCTTACTAATCTCCTTACAACCTAGCCTCATTCAAAACCCAGTTCAGAAGTCACCTCCTGGAGGCCTACAGGTGCATCTGAATGATCCTCCCTCTGGGCTCAGTGCCATACCACTGTGCCTTTAATATGCAGTTTCTTCTGCTTTACTTTACATTATCACCAGTGAAGGGCATCCAAAGGAGCAGAACTCATTTTAGCCAACTTTGTAGTCCCAGGATCTAGCCCAATATACAGACATTGCTGGTAAAAACTAGGCAAAATTGAGCATGTTGCCTCTAAAATCATTTCAATAAAATGAAAAAGCTTCTATGACAAAGGATACTGGGAGTGCCCAGCCCAGAGTGTGGCACTTAGCAGGAACTCAATAAATACTTACTAAATCAAGTTGATATTGCAATTCTTTTTTCTGTTTATGAAAAAATGGGGCAAACCTGGAAGTCAACAGTTCAGGCAAAAATCACTGTTTTGCCACACGTAAATTACGTTATTATTAGATTCTTTTCTTTAAGCAAGTCTTTACAGGACAGGAGAGGACCAGCACACTGCACAGGGTGGAGGTCAGGTGCAGAGGCGGCTTTGAGGAGGAACCACCCATTGCATTAGCTGCAAGCAGTAATAAGTTTTCCATTCCTATCTGCAAGAACCCAGAGTCTAGCTAATAGGAAACACCAGCTGGGGACAGGCAGCTGTAAGCCTTTGGTAAATCCGACCTGCAGTTCCAAGAGGGTTTTGCAAACCAAATACTTCCATCCTGAGGCCGTCCGTTATAACAGCACAAAAAGGCAGAAACCAAAGTCCAGAGTTTCCAAGTTTTAGTCAGAGGTCAGGCCAAACCCTAAGGAGCGTATGTTCTGTGTGAACCTGAACCCTCCAAAAAGCTCCAAGAGTTCTAAGTGAGTTAAATAAAGTTAGGACTCACTGAGAAGGGGAGAGGGAGGCGCAGAACTTGCCCTTACCTGATCTTAAGTTGTACGTTTTCTAAGTTTGAAAGAAAGGTTAAAATTCATTGGGTTCACCTATTACCATTCTCATGCTACCAGTGAACCATTCCAGGGTGATGAATCTTTCAAGACAGGAATTTACACTCTGAAGCTGCTTTTTAAACTCAAAGGAGAAAAAAGTTCAAGCATGTAAATACACCATCGATGAATGACTCCTAGCACAACCAGAATATTCCTAAGAACACCAAGCCAAATATCAAAAATGCCTGACATGTGCTGAGTGCTAAATGGATTTGCCACTTAGTACTCACAACCCAAAAGGAAACAATACAAACGTTTTTGTCTCCTAAAATTCTAGCTACCAGCGGTCTCGCTAGAAATTGAAAACCACATGACTTCGAAGTGCCCGCAGAGAACATTTGCCAAAGGATATCTGATGCTAATGGTGACAAATCCTTTCTAGAGTAATGGAAAAATATAAATGAATTAAGCTCTAAGTAACAGCGATGGCATCGTGCTCACTGTGTGGCCCATCTTTCACAGTAAACCCTGTAAGTGCCATCTTTGCCGCCCCTGTACAGTCGTGAAAACTGAGGCAAGAGAATGAGACTAACTTGCAGGAATATGTTGGCCGCCCTGACGCTAGAGTCTGGTTTCCAGACTGAGGCACATTGGAATCCCCTTGGAGATCTTCAAAACCCCAGCCCCAGGCCGAGCACAGCTGAGGGGTGCCACGCGGGCATCAAGAAGGTTCAAGGTGGGGCCTCCCTGGTGGCACAAGGGGTTAAGACGCAACCCATGAAGCTGTCTGCAGCCACTGCAGCGCGAGTTCGGTACCCGGCCAGGGAGCTACCCACATGGTGCGGCAGACCTCTCCTGTCTCCCCGCTGCTCCCCTCAGCAGTGTACTTTGGTCAATCTGCCTGTCCTGTTCCCCACTCTGATGAATCTTCTCACCCCCACACCTCTGGCCTGCACCCCAGCTCTTGTATGCAAAAATAAATCAATCTTTAAAAAAAGAACTGAAGAAGGTGGTTCAAGGTGCCCAGGCAGCTGGTTCTAAGCAAAGTTCGGCAAGGCTGCCTCGAGCTCTCAACCACAGAGAACCCACCGCATCTGGGCTACCGAGTCTTTGCTCTGACCCAAGACGACCCCCCCCCCGCCCCCCCAGGCGTTCACTGGGTGAAGGAGGGGCGCCTTGGGTCACCAGCCCGCCCAGCGCCCAGAGGACCCAGGCCTCGAACTTTGGCCAGGGCTGCCGGGGGGCTCAGGTACGGGGTGCAGGGAGGGGTGCGCGGGGGGGGGGGGGCAGCGCCCTGGCCGCTGGGGTCTCTCCCGGGCGGGCCGCGGGGCGCAGGGCCTCAGTCCCGCGGGGGCGGCAGGAAGATGCGCTCAACCCTGCTCCCCGGGGGGCGCAGCCAGGAGGGGTCCCCGCCTCCCCGCGCCCCTGCTCCCGGGAGCCGCCGCCAGGAGGGGTCCCCGACCCCCGCGCCCCTGCTCCCCCGGGGGCCGCCGCCAGGAGGGGTCCCCGCCTCCCCGCACCCCTGCTCCCCGGGGGCGCCGCCAGGAGGGGTCCCCGCCCCCCCCCCCGCGCCCCTGCTCCCGGGGGGCGCCGCCAGGAGGGGTCCCCGCCTCCCCGCGCCCCTGTTCCCCGGGGGCGCCGCCAGGAGGGGTCCCCGCCTCCCCGCGCCCCTGCTCCCCCGGGGGGCCGCCGCCAAGAGGGGTCCCCGCCTCCCCGCGCCCCTGCTCCCCGGTGGGCCGCCGCCAAGAGGGGTCCCCGCCTCCCCGCGCCCCTGCTCCCCGGGGGCGCCGCCAGGAGGGGTCCCCGCCTCCCCGCGCCCCTGCTCCCCCGGGGGGCGCCGCCAAGAGGGGTCCCCGCCCCCCCGCGCCCCTGCTCCCCCGGGGGGCCGCCGCCAGGAGGGGTCCCCGCCCCCCCCGCTCCCCCGGGTGGCGCCGCCAAGAGGGGTCCCCGCCTCCCCGCGCCCCTGCTCCCCCGGGGGGCGCCGCCAGGAGGGGTCCCCGCCTCCCCGGCCGCCCCCCGCCCCCGGCGGAGCCAGCCCGGCGGGACCGAAGTTACTCGCGCCGCCCGGCGGCCTCGGAAAAGTTCGTGACTTTGCTCGGCGGGGGGGGCGCGCGGGCCGGCCCCGGGGCGAGGGGAGCGCGGCGGCGGCCCCGGCGCCCCCCGCCCGGCCCCCCCGCGCCCCCCGCGCCCCGGCCCGGCGCCCGGACCCTTCCGCGCGCGCCGCGTACCCACCCGGAGGCGAAATCCTGCTGCACGCTCAGCAGCCGCTCGCGCAGGGTCTCCAGCATCGCCGCCGCCGCCGGCCCCGCTCGGGCCGCGACCGCCGCCCCCGCCCCGCACGGCCCCGGCCCGGCCCGGCCCGGCCCGCACCTGTCACCCGCGCCCGCGCCCGCGCCCGCGCCGGCCCCGCCCCCGCCGCCCGCGCCGCAGCCGCAGCCGCTTCCGCGTGCCCGCCCCCCACGCGCGCTCCCGCCGGCCCCGCCCCCGGCCGCCGTCGCCCCGCGCCGCAGCCGCTTCCGCGTTCCCGCCCCTCACACGCGCGCCCCCGCCGGCCCCGCCCCCGCCGCCCTCGCCTCGCTCCGCGCCGCAGCCGCTTCCGCGTTCCCGCCCCTCACACGAGCGCTCCCGCCGGCCCCGCCCCCGCCGCCCTCGCCCCGCTCCGCGCCGCAGCCGCTTCCGCGTGCCCGCCCCTCACACGCGCGCTCCCGCCGGCCCCGCCCCCGGCCGCCCTCGCCCCGCTCCGCGCCGCAGCCGCTTCCGCGTGTCCGCCCTTCACACGCGCGCTCCCGTCCGCCCCCGCCGCGCCCGGCCCGCGCAGCCGCAGTAGCGCGCCAGGACGGGCTGCGGAGAAGGGGCGGGGCCTCGTTTGCTGCTGGGGGAGCCGGAGGCCGGGGCTGCTGTGCTGGCCCCGGGGGGGGGGGGGGGGGGGCCCGGGGGGCTCCCCCTTGACATGCAAGGGAGAGAACCGCGAAAGGGGGTTGGAATCGAGGGCTCCTTAGAACGCAGCGTTGGTTTTGACGGGTTGGAAGAGTTGCAGCTGTTGCCGACAGATGCGGCTCCTGCTCCAAGCAGCACATTGTGTTTTGGACCCTGGGTCCAGCAGGACGCCACTGGCTTCGCCCTTGATGGGGACAGTGAGCCTTCTGCAGTCTCTATGCGTTCTCCTAAAACGGTCATTATAACCGGCTGTTTGGAGAGTCTCTCTGCTCTGTCTCCAACCCACCCCATCAGGCTTTTGTGCCCCTCACCAAGGTTGCAGGGATCTCCTGGCTCCTTCTCGCTCCTGATTTTTCTCTTGACCTCCCAGTGACTCTCAGGGCAGGTCCTTATCCTGTGCTTCAGACACGTTCTTCTCCTGCCTTCAAGGACAGCGTCCTTCAATTCTTCTTGTCGCTCCATCCTTACTCCTCCTGTTTCCCCAGCCTCTCCCAGAGCTGCTGCATTTCTGTTCTTCTGCATCCCTGCTGTCTCCAAGTCATTTTATCCATTACTATGCCGTGCATTCTACCAAGACACTGATGACCTCGAATCTTAAGCACCATGCTCCTGTTGCTCCTTCAGTTCATGCCAAGTGCTTACTCAACATGCATCCATCAGGCACCTCAAACCCATCATATCCAAAGTTGAAAATTTGAGTGCAGACTCAGGTGCTAACATCTAACCCCATCCCCAGGCTTTTTCCATGTCAGTGGATGACACCACCACCCACCAAGTGGCTCAAATTAAAACTGAAAGCACCCCACTTCCCCTTTTCCTTATTTCTCTGTAGTAATTCAATTTAATCAACTTGATTTCTAAGGAATTGCTGCAACCTGCACTCCTCTCTCCAGCTTCACTATAATCCTCCCAGTCCAGGGCAACATTATCTTTCACTAGGAACACTGATGGGGCTCCTGATTCCACTCTTTTACCATCAACATTCTTGTATTGCAGCCTTGACACAGCAATCAAACTGAATTATTTCCAGGAGCAATCAGATCATGTCACTCTCTTGCTAAAAGTCCTCCAGTTGCTTCCTGTGCACTTAAAATCCAACCTTCTTACTTGGCTTACAAAGTCCTTAAATCTGAACCTGACTGACTATCTATGCCAAGCAAATACCAGTCACCCATCATATCCTCATTTAAGCCGTATTAACCATATGTGTGTGCCTGGTGTGCTGTAGGGTAAATGATGCTCCGGCTTTTGCTCCATTGACTTGGGAGCATGGGCTCGGGGTACATATGCCTGGTGGTAAACACCGGAGTATGGTGTGGGCATGCGTGAGTAGCCACACCTGAGCCGAGAGACAGCATTTAAGGGCTGTGTCAGCAGTGGTGCCAGGGAGAGCCCATAAATAAAGATTTTCCCTGGGCTAGGGGGCCTGCCAGCCTCCTGGGCCTTCAGTCCGCCTACCTGCCTGCATCTGGTTACTTCACTATAAATGGTGTGGAAAGGTCATTAAAAGCCTGAAAAAGCCAGTGAGTGGCTGTTTCCAGTACAAGGTATATGTGTATGTCTTGAGATTTTCACCTTGAGGTTTCTTCACAGCTTTTCTCCAGACCGTTCCTTAGCTAGCTCCTTCATGGTAATTAGTACTTAGCTTAAATATTGTCCCATTAGATAAATGTTCTCTGATCATGCCAATTATCCACCCAATGACTTCCTTACACACCCTGGTTCTCAGCTTCTTGCATGTCACTAATTCCACTTTTTTAAATACCTCAAGATAATATCTTGATTAATGATCTATGAGCTAAGCAATTACCCCTGCCTGCCAGGAGAGGCTGCAGAATCTCTTACTAGTACAACACTATGACTTCAGAATCCATCGAACCTCTCCCTGAATTCAGGATTCCAGGCTGTAGTTTGTCGCCTCCTTTCTCAGCACTTTCAGAGCGGGACCAGCCCTATCACATGGTTTTCAACCTTTGGTGCAGGATCCCTTCAGCCTTCCTCTGTCCGGGACATTGTGCTGGCTGACCCTGAAGGCAAAAGTGCAAGGGGAGACAAAAGAGAGAGCGAACTGGGGCACAGGGCACTCTCAGGCTCTGCAGGAGTAAAGTTGTGCTCAGGTTACCCCAGGACTTGCAGTCTTTTTGAAAGGATACTGTAAAGGGCCAGGAATGGACACAGTGCAGGTTTTCTGATCCAGCAGACCGGGTAAAGGAGGCAGAGTCCTCAGTGGTTTTTTGCAGGTCTTTTATTGGGGTTCACCAGGCATATGGCAGGCAGGGGTGCTGGGGGGCCGGGAGGCTGGCAGGCCTCCCGGCCCCCAGCAAATCCTCACTATCTGAGCTCTCCGGCCTTCTCTCGACTTCTGCTTCTCTTGCTTCGCTCTCGGCTTCTCTTTCAGCTTCTGCTGCCACTGGGTGATGGGGTGGCCTGGCAGGCTGGGTGGCCGCGTCACCTGCCTCTGGGCCTAGCCTCATCCCTGTGCCAAGTCCACGTACCCCCTGCAGTTGCCAGCCAGGTAGGGGGGCTGTGTGGCTGGGCGTTTCTGGCCTGGAGAGCTGGAACTTTGCACATGACATATGGGGCTGTTCCTGCTACAACTGCCCCCCAGCCCTGTTGATCACCACTGCTGCTGCTGCTGGCGTCCCCGTGACGCCGCCCTTAAAAGTCCATTCTCTTAGCCCAGGTGTACCCACTCCAGGTGCCCGCCATCAGGCATGCATTCAGGATCACAGGGTTCCCTCATCTATCCTGATGGCGGGAGGGCAGAAA